CCTTTAGGAGGAAAAAGACAGTCAAACACTAGAAAAGAGGGAGAAGTTATGAGGAGTGGTGGAAGGACCCCATGGTAAGAGAACAAGCCGGCTTCCTGAGTATATCAGGTTAGCATCTGATTTCCTCAATTTAGGCATGTCAATTTCTTTGTAATAAAAGATAAAGGCCTTCTGACTCCTATCTCTGGCTCCAAACCCAGAGAGAGGCCTGATCCATCTCTTCACACAGTGTCGTCCTCACTGGTTAAGCACTGTTGGCGCCTCTACGCCATTTTGTTGACTAGGCCGGGGGAAGAGCCCAGGCCCCTATATTAGAATTCACTGATTCCTTCACAGAAGCCTCACTGTTACCCACACACTGCTACCCTGTCTGGTGATTCCTAAATTTCACCTAGAGCAAGCTCAGCAACTGGGAGGACAGGAAACAGAAGAACTTGCTTACATGGGCTTATGTTATTTATTTGGCCCCCAAACCAGTGTTTCAATGAAAAGCAAAGCTTTCTTACTATTGAAAAAGATCCTTACAAGGTACTTAAAACAAGTTTGTGATGAAAAATCATGAGCCTATCCAGTGTTGACAATGCAATTATGTTCTGTGTAAATAATAAAGGGGGTACACTTCTTTCCCTTTAGAAAAATAAGGCAATTCTTGGTCCAATGGTAGGGTGCTTTTTGGAACTTCAGGAAGTTGCTTTTCCTCAAAATACTTTTGCTTATGCCAAGTGTGTTCTGTGAGTGTGGGGGAGGACCTCTCTAAAAAAAAAACAACCATTTCACAGCAGATGAAATGTCAGATACTTGCAGACCAACGGCCCACACAGAAGACCCCGATAAATAAGACACTGGTCTATGAAGCAGAGAAATGGTGGGCAACACACGACAGAGCAACATGAAGCAGCAACGCTTCCCCCCCTTTGGAGAAGCAGACCAGTCACAGATGGACTGAGGATTACAAGATTATGTTGTGTGACAAAGCCACTGCATTCAGTAGTAGCTCCACAGGTCTAAGTCCAGATGGGATCATTTGTCTTACCCCATGACCCAGACTGTGGAATGCTACTAACGCGTTTTCTGACTGGCTTCAGGCCAAATCCTATCTCCTGATTTTCTTGTGTACCATTAGCGTATGCCTTTCACAGGCTGGTTCTAAATCATCGAAGGAGGTGGATACTTTGAAGGAGCGATGGATGTGTTCAGGAACACCTCACATTTCTAGAAGTGGATTTGATGGAGTTTTACCCAAAACAAAGGATATGGCCTCTCTGTCAGAAAAGTCCTGAATTTGCTGGGGGTTAAAAATGCTATTTCGTGTCACTGTGGTCATTGAGAACTTAGTGCTGGTTGCTCTATTTGAGAACCTCAAGAACCCTTGTGAAGTCACAGAATCTGGTTTAATCCCTGGTGTGATGCAGTTTTAACATGTAGTAGCTGAGAGCCAAACAGAAACATGAGAAGGTGGAACTTCATATTGTGAAGTCTGAGTTATCTCAACTTTTGCACATCAGGGAGAAACTAGAGGGCCAGGAAGTCCTGGTGTCTGTGGGTAGCTCCTATTGACAGAAAATAGTCTATTACCCCAGCCTTGGCCTGTTTCCCAAGGTAGCTCTCAGACACTAGAAATCAAGTACATGATAGTTCACCTCAGCTTATTGCTGTTAGAAGCCAAAGAAGCTCACAACAAATTCCAAATGACTGAAAGATCAATGAAGAAGTTACTGATGATATCCTATGTTCAAGGATCTGAAGACTTAATATTGTTAAGTTGGCAATACTCCCCACATGGATCTATAGATTCAGTCCTCATTAAATTTCCACCTAGTTTCTTCGTAGGAATTGATTTGCTGATCCTAAAATTCATATGGAAATTCTAGGAACCCAGAATAGCCAAAACAATCTTGGGAAGAAAAGACCAAAGTTAAATAACTCACACATCCCAATTTTAAAACCGTACCAAGCTAGAGTAATCAAAACAGTATGCTAATGGCATGAGGATAGATATACTATATATCAATGGAATAGAAGTGAGAGTCCAGAAATAAACCCTCCCACATTCATGGTCAATTGATTTTTGACAAGGATATTAAAATAATTCAATGGAGAAAAAGAATAGTCTTTTCAACAAATTGTGCTGGGACTAGATATTCACATGCAAAAGAATGAAGCCAAACACTTATACCATACATAAAAATGAGCTCAAAATGGATCAAAAACCTATTGTAAAGTTAAAACTGTAAAAGCTAAAACTATAAAATTCTTAGAACACATAGGCATAAATCTTTGTGACCTTAGATTAGGCAATGGTTTCTTAGATTTGATGACAAAAGCATAAGCAACAAAAGAAAAATGTAGACAAATTAGACTTCATCTTTTCTAAAAATAAAATCTTTTCTGTTGCAGTGGGAGCCATCAAAAAGTAAAAAAAAAAAAAGTCATAGAATGAGAGAAAATATTTGTAAGTCATATACCTGATAAAGAACATATGTCTAGAACATATAAAGAACTATTACAATTCAATAGTAAAGACAAATATCCTCATTAAAAATAATCACAGAATCTGTATAGATGGTTCTACAAAGAAGATATACAGAGGGCCAATAAGCACATGAAAATATAGTCAACATCATTTTTCATTGGGGAAGTGCAAACCAAAAGCAATGAGATATTATTTTACACCAACAATGGCTATAATCAAAATGGCAGATAGTAACAAATGACAGTGTAGATATGGAAAAATTGGAAGCCTCATACACTGCTGATGAGAATGTAAAATGGTGCAGCCACTTTGGAAAACAGGCTAGCAATTCTTTTTAATTCTTAAAAAGGTTAGAATTACCATATGACCCAGAAATTCAATGTCTCAATATATACCCAATAAATATACATCCACACAAAAACTTATATATAAATGTTCATAGCAGCATTGTTAAAAATAGCCAAAAAGTGGAAACAACCCAAATGTCTATCAACTGATGAATAGATAAATAAAATGTGGTACAATGTAATATTATTTGGCAGTCAAAATAAACAAAGTACTGATATATGCTCCCATATAGATGAAACCTGAAAACACATGTTAAGGAAACCAGTCACAAAAGACAACGTATTCTATGAATTCATACAATATCCAGAATAGGCAAATCTATAGAGACAACAAGTAGATTAGCAGTTGCCTGGAGGAGAGGATTGAGGGTAAATGGGAGAATTATTATTAATGAGTACTAATTTTTGAAGGTGATGAAAATCTTCTAAAAGTGGCTGTGATGTACAATTCTTTGAATACACTAGAAAACATTGACTTGTACACTTTAGGTGAATTCGATGGTATGTGATTATATCTCAATAAAGCTATTTTATATAGAGAGAGGAAAAGGTTGCTGGTTATCAGCACTGATTACCATGGTCCTCTCATACAATTCTTAGAAGTCTCTATCCATAGTGAAAACAAATCTCAGCATCAACTACCCTCTCGCCCAGCACTTCCTGAAATAAGTCTGTGCATGGCATTTGGGTGCAGTAGCTAAAAGAGCTAGCTATGGGGTGCGGAGCATGGGTACAAATCCCGTCTCACATCTACTGACTCTGGGGTCTTGCTTCAGCTTCATCATCTGTAAAAAGGAGTAAAATAACTAATATTTCCTACTTTATAGAGTTGTTGTAAGACTGCAGTGAGCACCCAGTAAGCATTACTTATCATTTCTCTAGAGTCTTCTTTGTATGAATTTTTGCTCAAAAAGACCACCCTGACCCCATAATTTCCTAAATGTGGCATCTCTGGTGTGAAGACATAAGATTCTCTTCTGAAAGATCCACCTTCTGAAAATATGAACTATCACTACAGAGGATACTTAGCTTGTTACCACCAGTTGCTCTTTTAGATGACAAGTTGAAAACTGTTTTGGAAGATACTGAAGCATCAATAGGGAAACAGTTCTATCTTAACAAATCTCCACTCACCTCTCAATTTATATACAAATATATTTAGGAACAAATACAATATGAGTAAATGAACACACACACACACACACACACACACACACACACAACTTCAAAGAGAATTTTTAAATAAAGTTAAGGTTCTTTTATCTACCTGTCATCCAGTTCCTAGCATACCAAGGTTTCACTCTAAATTGGCACATCAGCAATCAACATTTTATGCGACTTTTAGTAGAAATGGTTATATATAGTCAGTTCATTACTCCAATGTTCAATAACTGTCCCATTGCATTCCTGTTGGTAATTTTTCTTAATAAGTACTTAAAAGTTCCTTAGCTTTTTTGTTTGTGTTGTTTTTTTAGGATAGGCCTTATTTGATGTATAAAAAAGAAGAACAAGGTCCTAATTTGAGTGGGCACTTAATGCCATCTCCCAGGGCTGTACATCACAAGCAAAAACACTGTTCTTCTAAGATGCCTGTTAGTTTGATCAACTTCCTGGCTGAAGCCATGAGGTCATAAAAATAAGGAGAAACTTCCACCTCGCAATTAGAAAATTGTTATTCAATCCCACTATGAATTTTTATGACTTAAACATTATTATAAGGAAAAGTTAAGTTTTGAAATTTTTATTTCTAGTAATGAATATTTCATATTTGTATATTAACCATATTAATATTAATATTTAGCCTCAGTAAGGTGAACTTAATTACATTCTTATGGTTTATTCTAATCATCTTTTCCTCAATGCTCAAAAACACCACAGAGGTCTCACTAAACTCTTACAGCAATTCACATTTTCCCCGCCTGCCGGCCTGAATTCTGACAGTTGGACCTTACAGGAAGGCTCAGGAGAACTGCCCCTGCACCACTTAACAAAAAGTCATTACTAGATTATGGATTAATTAATCCTAGCAGTAGTATTTCTTGGGTAAAAATGTGTCAGCTCACTGGAGACTGCTTTCATTTCTATTTTTCCTGAAAAGTTGACCTGGGTGTGTTTTTTTGAAATAGCAAGGAACGGTGCTAGGCATAGATCGGCATGTTTTCCATTTCCTTGGTTCTCACCTGACCATCCCGGGAGGCAGCGGCAATGGCCCGTGGTGGGGTGGCAGCCATCAGCATGGCTGCAGTCACAGCGCTCGGCACAGTTCAGCCCATACGTGCCATCCTGCATGGAAGACAGCAACGAGGACGTGGGAAGCCCCATGATGGGAGACAAAAGGGGCCACAGTCAGCCATTGCAGGTGCAGCACCCTCCTCCTCTCCCAAACACCTCTCAGCAATATACATTATCATCATCACCTCTTCTCATGTCTTCTTGCCCCTAAAATGTAGGCTCCGGGAGGTCGGTATTTTAAAGTCCCTCAGACATACAGTTAGGGCACATGAGTGGTGAAATCAATGATGCTAATATGCTGATATGCATATACACAGATATATGTAAATATGCCAACTAATTAAAATAATCTTTCTTATCGTAAACCACAACTTCTAAACATATTTTCTTTTGCCCCTAAAGGTTTCTATAAAATAGTTCAATGTTCCTTGCAAGACATTCTATTCTTTAGTAGAAAGGGAGGCCACTGGCCCACGTAGACAAGCTCTAAAATTTAAAAAGTGTTTAGCTCTAATTGCGTTAAGTTTGTTTCCATAAGTTGCCAATGTGGAGCTATAAGGAAAAATGAAAGTCTTTTGTTACTTTTCCTAATTAATATCTTCCTCATGATGAAGAAGTCTAGACAACACAAAGTATTCTGATTCAAGATCTTAAAAAGAGGATGGAGTACATGTTGGTCCAGCGTCCTATTCACGCCCTCCCAGACCTATACATTGCCACGTGTGCATCAGTTTGGTGGTCCAGTGGACATAAGACTCTTCGTGAATGTGATCATTTAGTTTGTGGGAGAGGAGTGGAAATCTCTGCGTTCCTAAGCCCTGCTCTTTCAGGCCGGATCCTGATGAGCGGAGGGAGAGTACTTACAAACCTTCCACACCACCCAAGAGCTAAGAAAAATATGGGATGCACAACTACCAAGAGGGAGTAACCTGAGAACCTGCATAAAACAGGCAGTGGGTGTTAGATGCCATAATCATTTATCTAGGTCTTATTAAAATAAAATAAATAGGCCATTTTTTAGGCCCCAATAATGTTTGATGGAGCTGCATTGGACTTAGCTCTGCTGCAGTATGAGCCACTGAACCATCAGCCCTTGCTGATTTAGTAATCCGATATACAAAAAGGGACACGATTGTGCCAGGGCTTTGCTTTGTCCACAATCAGACTGGGAGTGAAACGCGATCTTCAAGCCCATCTCAGCTCACTGATAATTTGTTCACTGGTGGATGAGAGGCAGCAAAGCTAATTTAACTTTGTCCTAAGGGTCTGCAGGGCATGGAATAGCCCAGGGTGGATCGACCCTCTCTCTGCATTGGGAATGGGGTGCACTTAATGAGGAGGAAGCCCAGGGAGCGAAGAACCTCCATGGGAGGCCCTTCACGAGGAGCCCTCTTCAGGGTGTCACAGTGTCATCTTGTCATCAGAGGATCTCCAGATGATTTCCCGGAGGCAGAGAACACACACCACTGAGAGAATGTTTAATGGCTCAGGAGAAAACAATTGTGATAGGAAGGAGTGATGGAAAGAAACCAGCCATGTGCTTCATTGAGGAAGAGAAATCAGCATGTTACAATAGAATGCACTACCCATTTGCACCCTGTCAGCCTGTGGTAGATATAGTGTGGGCTTTCTAAAGATGGGTATCTCCAAAGCAGGTCAAGGGAATGGAGTTAGCCTTGAACTAAGGAAATCCCTGGAGAGTCTTGTGATTCCAGGGATATTTACATTAAAATGTGGCTATTTCCAAACCTTTTCTAACCATCCTAATGAGCATTTCTGTGACACCATCACCACCCCCTTTCAGTGCCCTGCCACTTTCTAGCCTGAAGGCGGGAGGATTTCCATTAGAATGGAAACATAATATTTGGAGAGTTGACAGGCATACACCACCATGTGTGACAAATGCTGTTGACTGGGTGCCAGGAAGAGATGGATGTATAAGAACAGAAAAAATAGAGGGGGTCATTGGAGGGAACCTGAGTAGAGATGAAGGAGAAGAAGGAAGTGATTCTCACAAAGCTACCTAACCAATTTCCTTGTCTACCCCTTTTCCAATCCTACATCCACTCTGAGTTCAAACACCTCAGTTCTAATAGCTACTGTGGTTGGTTCACACTCACACACTTTAAATCAGGAAAGCTGCAAAAGCAGGCTCCCCCCTGACACCCGCGCCTAGGCCTTCCCAGTTGGGGCACTGGTTCGGTCGTACCTGGCAGGGAAGTTCACATTTCTCCCCTCGCCATCCAGGTGCACATGTGCAGGTCCCATCCAGGGTGTTGCAGGCTCCGCCATGGAGGCACTGGCATGTTAAGTTACAGCCAAAGCCCCAGGTGCCACTGGGACAGCGGATGGAGCAGTCCACCCCGTGCCAGCCTGCCAAGACAAGAACACCAAAGCACATGAGGAAACAAAGGCAGCAGGGAGTTTTGCTGAGCCTTTCCAAGCCACTTTCCCTTTCAAAACATCTTGGAGAGGCACAGCAATGTCTCCGGCCCCAGCACAGAAAGCATTGGCTCTGCCACGTAAAGCCTCTATCAGAAATGAACAAAAGCACCCAAATAGCCATGTGTGCCGTGTGATCTGTCACAAGGATGCCAACCCTGAGAAGCACTACTGGGCTCTTGGGGGAAGAAACATGAAGTGGGGGCCCCTTAACGCACAGGGATGCACACCACGGAATGCTGAGTTTTGTTCAGGTCGGAAAAGTGAAATATTTGTATGGGAGGGAGAAGGAAGGTTTGTGTTTGAAAGAACAACCCCGTCTTGAAAGCAGGACCCCGTTAACCATGAACAGTGAGTATCCAGGATAGATACATTCTGGCCCTCCCATAAAATCATTATGTGGCTCCATTTCTTGTCACAACGACTCCAGGCCAGTGAATTTAGGGGCACAGACACATGTCTGCTTGGCTGACTGTCCCTAGAGTGCAGAGACTCACAGGCTTTTGAAGCTGGCAGCGACTTCAGAGATCATCTCCTGGGAGCCTCTTCTTGTTGACTCACGAAAGCACCAGAGCCCACTCTGGCTGTGGGGCATTCTGAGAGCAGGCACCAAAATTTGGCACAGGAGGAGCTAGAACCCTAGTCAAGGTTTCTTTCCTGTGACTTTAGGAGATGACAGGACCAGGGTCAGATAAAATATTCATCCACTAACCTGCCTTGCAAGTACAAGACCCATCCACAGGAGAGCAGACAGCATCGTTCTTACAGCCACAGAAAGAGGAGCAGTTTACCCCGTAGGTTCCCCGAGGGCACGGGGCAGAGCAGTCAGTCCCCTAGACAGGCACAAACAGGAAAACACATGCAATTCTACCAACTGAAAGAAGGCCAACACAAATAAACGAAAATGTTTCTTGGGGATGCTAATTTTACTCCCTCTCCCATTTTAACACATTGTATTTTTAAAAGTTGCTACAATGTCACCACTATGCAAATTTAGAGATTCAAGGGCATTGCTAGCTGGCCTCTGTTTATGACACAGTATTGCATAAGATCCAAAAAAAGCCTGCTGCCTTCATGAGTTTTCCTTTGTAGCAAATATAAAACCTTTTGTCCTTGCTCAAACAAGCAGATATGTAACAATAAACTGTAGCTGTACAATTGCTATCAATAAATAAACATAAATATGAACTAAATGTTAAATTGCAATGCTTCCTAACTTCCTTGTGCAATATGTAATATGATTAGTGAGTGAAGTGTAGGGACAGCACACACACTCAGCCAGCAGCACGATTCAATTTAATGTCTGACAGCGAGCCTTAACTATACAAGTCGGTTATCAAAGGTGACTGGAGGTCACCTCCTTTAAAAACAGTAAGGGCCTCTTTAAGACAAGTCTGATTTAAGAACTCAACCAAGGATTGTGACATAGGTTAGAAAACCCTGTAAAAACCCTCTCAGCTCGGAGACTTTATGATCCACTCATTCTGCATCGTGTGCTCTAGAATAATCGACACTCTTCACAGTTTAACATATTCCTCCTCAAACTGGGAGAAAATGATTCAAGAAAAACCCATTTTCCTTTAAAACAAAGATTTCTTAACCTGCAGCTAAGAAATCCTAGAAATCAGGCAAAATTCTGCTCTATTGGCATATAGGTATTTTTGTAAGGTCCAGATTCTCAAAGGAACTGAAAAACTTTTATGCTACTAACCTTTGCACATAAATACATAATAAATGCTAACTTGATATATTATGTGCCTCCAAATTATATGGAATTAAGACAAAACCTGTTGACAATAATACATATCCTACTTGTAAAAGTAATTTCTTTGTTACCTATAAAACACAGTAAAATAATGACATCGGTAATAATGAAAATATATCATATTTCATGGCACCTATTAATTAAACAATTAAATATGAATGCCACATTTATAGTTTGTCCAGCTTTCCCAGTCATCATTCTAAGGTAATTACTTATATCACTTATTACTATTTATTACTACTTTTCTCTATTCCTTTTCTTGTTAATGATGGGATCGATTTTAGTACATTCATTGGACTGCAGAAAAGGTCATATAAATCGTGGTATCTGTATACCCTACATCGCACCCCTCAAATCCTTCCCCCAGAGCCCGAGACACTCACTTTGAATCCTGGGGCACAGGTGCACTTCCCAGTCACACTGTCACAGTCAGCCCCATTTTGGCAGCTGCAGATCTGTTGGCAAATTTCCCCATAGAATCCAGGAGAACACGTCTCATTACAGTAGAGTCCCGACCAGCCTGGCTTACAGGCACACTCTCCAGACATGGGGTGACAGCTGAGAGCACAAACGAAAGGAGCAGGTCACTTTCGGGTAAACGACACCCAAAGCCCATGCAAATGTTGCTGTAGCCATGATCACTAAATGTGTGGGTAATTCTACACACAGTATTTTAAACTTCATTCCCAGGCTTGGTACTATTTAATTAATTGGCCAAAACCCATTTGGGTACTACAGAAATGGTACATAAAATCAGCATCATGCTCAAACAGGATGATGATCACAACTGGGTCCTTTTGTCTGAAACTCACTTTAATTTTCATAAATCGAAAGCACTGATTCAATAAACAGTCAACTCGAAGGAAGATCTAAAGGATTCCACCCAATGAGCTACAGCAAGCAGTTAACCAGGGTGATGTCCAAGGAACTCCAAAAGCTACAACCATTTCAGCCTGTTTCTTCTCTCAGCGCCCCACACCTGGGGCAGAACAGCTGTCTCTACCTGAAACAGCAGTTGCACTGACAGGCGAGGCAGCCAGCTGTTGCTCTACAGCAAATGGACACATCAGCTGTGCTAAGATGCACGTGCTACTGAGGCTGACACAATAGGGCACTCTGTGGCACTCACCAGAGGAAAATCTTAACAATCAAACCAGCTCTGCTCACAGTTGGAAGACTGTAAAAGGTGGGTTTCCTCCCCTCATGGTGATAACACCCTTCCCTTAACTAGGGCCAACCACAAAATCCACTGTCACATCCAGACATTTGCTAAGGGACCTCTTGTTAGAGTTGCCAATCATAGATTTTCAGCTCTTGAAAAGAATGATTTTCTGGGAGGGAGGAAGACTGAGGATGTAATTAAAGCTGTCCCCCTACCTGGGTCACCCTAATGAAAGCACACAACCTCCCTGAGCCTGATATCCTAGTCTGTCAAGTGAGTATGTCAGCCTTGTAGGTGGGGTGGTATGTTCCACCATTTTCAGAAATTTAATTAAATATACTTTTAGGTCCCTACTACAACTAAGTGCCCACAAGCAAAGGCCTAGGCATACATCACAAGCATTACAGGAAACATGGCACGAAGAGGTACGAGGTCTGACAGTGAAGTTTACAAACTTGTTGCAACAATGTTGCTAACCTTTTTTGATATCAGAGGGATTATTCATTATGAATTTTTCCCAACTGGACAAACAGTTAACCAAGTTTACTATTTGAAAGTGCTGAAAAGCCTGTGTGAAAAAGTTAGACAACCTGAACATTTCACCAACAATTCATGGCTCTTGCATCAGGGCAATGCACCAACTCACACGGCACTATCTGTGAGGAAGCTTTTGGCCAGTAAACAAATAACTGTATTGGAACACCCTCCTTACTCACCTGATCTGACTTCTTTCTTTACCCAAAGATAAAGGAAATATTGAAAATAAGACATTTAGATGACATTCCGGACATCAAAGGAAATAACAATGACAGCTCTTAATGGCCATTCCAGAAAAAGAGCTCCAAAATTGCTTTGAAGGGTGGACTAGGCGCTGGCGTTGGTGCATAGCTTCCTAAGAGGAGCAGTTCGAAGGTGACCATAGTAATATTCAGCAATGAGGTATGTAACACTTTTTCTAGGATGAGTTCACAAACTTAATTGCCACACCTCGTATCTAAGTACAGCTCTATATTTACGATGGTTACTTGGATATAGAAGGGTTGGGTTCAGAAGACAAGGGTCTGAGTCTCAACTCTGCTTAGATCTACCCAGATTACTTATCTGCTATTTAACCTTGGGCAAATCACTTATCCTTGAGCAAACATCTGGAATTCCCATGGCATCTCAAACTTAACATGTCAAAAACTGAGCCTGTGTTCTTTCCTTTCTTCATTCCTCATTCAGTGTCTATTCTCAATCATCCCCAATGAAGTAATGGCACCACCAGTCACTCAGTTACTTAAACTAGAAACCTTGGAATTATTCTTAATAACTCCTTCTTCCTCATCTCCCATATCTACTTCATCACTACAACCTAACCATCCTAACTCTAAAATATATTTTTAATTTATCTACATCTCTTCATCCTCACTGTCACCATCCTACTCCAAGCCAATGTGACATATCACCTAACCTCCTGAACAGCCTTCCAACTTTTCTCCCTGTAGCCACTCAAGCCCCATCACCTAAAAAGTAGATCATTTTGTATCATTCTCCTTAAAACTCTTCAAAGGCTCCCCACTACAATAAAATAGAATAAAATTCATACTGTTTCATAAAGCTAAAATGACTATATAATTGTCTAAACCAGGACATTTTTAAGAGTGAAAAGGGAATTGCTAATAATTACATAAGGACAACAGGTCTAAGCCAGCCAGTCCCTGAGACACCAGGTATACGATCACCCTAAATGTAGCCCATAGGCCCCCACCATCTGGTCACTGCTTGCTCCCCAACCTCTTCTTTCATCATTTCTCTTTATTGCTATGCTCAACTGCAGCGGATTTATTTTAGTTTGTAAAAGCGTTGAGGTTTTTCAACATAAGGGCTCTTCCATATGCCCATAGTGCTGTCCCGCACTCTTTGCCTAGCTCTTTTCATCTTATGCTTCCAGTCTCAGCTCAGATGGTACCTCTTCCTTAGAAAGGCCTTCCCTGACCACTCACACTGAAAACAGATCTCTCCTGTCATTTTCTTTCACGGCACCCTGCTCTTTCTATAATCTGGTGTTTGTTTGTGCAATCTTTAGACGTCTTCCTTTCACTCTAGACTTGGAACTACACAAGGGCAAGAATGAAGTACATTTTGTTAGCTGTCCCTGTCCCACGCTCAGCCCACCGTAGATGCTGATGGAGTGAATAAGCGAGCTGATGTGCAGTGGGGTCTACCTCCAGGGGTCCTGCTTTCACGCCCTAATCTGCTTCTCCCTGGTATCTCAGTGTTCTCCCAGTGTTAAATTACAATCTGTACATCTGAATACAAAGGCAAGATCTCCCCTAAATTTAGTTTTTAAAATGTCGAATTCATGGCTTACAGGGAATCACCATCAATTGCAGGGAACACTCACTTACGTGACGTTTACGATACTATTGTAAGTGAATGCACAGACCAGCAGCCCGTTGTCACTGAGCCCAAATGTGTGCTAACACCATGCTAAGCAATCCACGTGCACTATTTCATTTAATCGTCACAATCATCCAAGTGTTAGGCATGGTCCCATGTTATCTAATGAGGGAAAAGAGGCCTAGAACGAGTAATTTATTCAAAGTCTCGCACAGGCAGTGGCAGAATCAAACTCGAACCCAGATTTACTTATGTGTTTTCACACCAAAGAAAAAGGAAGTTAGGTAGCAGCCTGCTAGGAGGGCTAGATATGAAAAAGAATTTCTAATATTTAGGATGCAGCATAGATAAAAACTTAGCAGGACCAATAAAAGCCCGTATTGTGCAAAATGCAAGGACAAATTTAAATTTACTTCAGTAAGGTCCTCCATGTAAGAAAAGGAAAAGAATATTTGAAGTAATAGATTGGTTAAATGAGTTTACCTTATCTAAACATAATATAAAAAAAGGATATCTTTTAGTAGAAAATATTACTGTACATTAAAAAGAAGGAAATAATTTTCATGGTACAGACATAAATGTTAAATGAAATAGATAATTTGGGGACAGGGAATTGAACTCAGCTAGAGGCAGACAGAGAAATTGACATTCAATGCCCCCCAGAGAGTATTAGTGCAGCACTCTGGTTCCTAGATTGATTGACACCCAAATTAGTATTCTGCAATTTGCAATTAGGTGTAGGAAGCCAGAGACTTTGGAGGCATTTGATGTGTTCTCATGCAGGCAGCTTAATTGGTAATGAGACTTACGTGTTGATGTTAGCACAGCAGATTAGAAATTGAAGAGTAATATACTCCTACCTGGTTTCTTTCTAAAGAACAGGTTGCTTTGTGAACAGGTTGTATGTGAAAATAGGATTATACACCTATAGGGATACCTATCATTTTATACACATATATAACGAGATAAATCTTCTAGTAAATTTTCAATTTAAGGCTTTATTATGAGTCCAATACAATACTGGCTAAAATAGAATGAGTTACTGAAATTCTTTTGTTCATTTCCTGAGATGTTGTTAATGCTCAAATGTAATGACAATTAGGTAGCATTTGCAAATAGGCATGTCCTAATTGCCTACAGCTATTAAATGTCCTTATTAACAAGAGCTAATATAAATAGGTCATGTGGAATCTTACTAAATCTCAAATTCTATTTTCAAATAAAATCATTTATATCATTTGACTTTTATCAAAGTTGACTTATCAAATAATCAAAATGATTTCCACCATGAAAGTTAGTTTTCACCTGAAAAATCCAGGTCACAGTGAATGTCTTTAGGTACTAGAATATTTCTGTCATTTAAAACACTAGTATCATCTATACATATATTTAAATTCATTTCAATCCTATGAAAGATTGAAAAATAAGAATGGCTACAAATTCTTTGCAACTCCTCCCATCCAGAGATAGAGTATATTGAATCTGGACTTGGTTGTGTGACCTGCTTTGCCTAAAGGAACATTAGCAAACTCGACACAACCAAATGTTTGCAAAGTGTTTGCATCTTGGAGTTTGCCCGGTCTCTAGCTGCTTTTTGGAAGCCAGTCACCATGTAAAGAGACCCAGGCCTCTGCTAGATGCTGGAGACATATGGCTCAGTCATCCCGATCACCCAGCCAAATGCTAGACATGGGAGTGAGGAATTCCAGGCCTAATCAGACTAGTTGATCTGCCAGGTGAACATCGGGAGACCAGCAGAAGAATCACCAAGCTGAGCCCAGCCCAATAGTGAAGCAAAACATCATTAGCTAATAAATAATTGCTGTTTTATACCACTAAATTTGTGGTAGCTTCTTTTTTTTCTTATGCAATGAAAGCTAACTGATACAAACCTCTACTCAAATATATGGCTGCAATATACCATATTTACAAAAGACAATGTAAACTAATAGTGTGCATTGCTTTATTTATCTCATTAATTATAATGAAAGCCTTTAGGATAAGTATAAATCATGAATTATGTAATAGCAAGCTCCACATGCTTGATTAAATGGTAAAATGAACAAGCTAGATTTTCAATTAATACAAAGATTAATTGATTCCTTTTGGTTCAAAGGAATCTTGTTTCCAGGAATTTTACACAGAAGTTCAAAATGTAAGAATCAGATGGATGTTTCCAACTGTGAATTCAACAAGACAGACTCAGATATTCAACATTCAACTGGTTTTAACAGGAATTTCTAAAAGCTATTTTTTAAAAGTAGCTTTCATTATTTAGAGGAGCACTTCATAGGCTATTTGTTTCTTAATCTTCTGATTACTTGTTATACATTATTAGATAGATTTTTAGTGTGTTTTTTTTAACCTCTGTTACTATCAAATAATTTCATGTACAGTCAGTTCTCTGTAACTGTGGGTTTCACATTCATGGATTAAATCAAATGCAGATAAAAAATATTCAAAAAACAAAAAATCCCAGAAAGTTCCAAAGAGCAAAACTTGAATTTGCTAGATGCTGAGCACTGCGCTGAACCCATGCGAATGAATTGATATGTAGGCACACCCTGCTGTAGCCTATATGGAAATATAGGTCATATGTGAATATTATGCTTCTTTATATAAGGGACTTGAGCATCTATGGATTTTGTATCCATGGAAGATCCTGGAACCAATCCTCCTAAGATACTGAGGGATGACTGTGTTTCTTCAATAAAGCATACATGCTTAGGTACACAGGATCTATACTAAAATTATCATGGTATTAATGTCAAGTAACTGTCCATTTGCACCTGCCACTACTAACATGGTACCCAATTTCAACAAAACCAACATTTTGTCTGCTTCTCAAATCTTCTCATAGCAGAGCTCCTCTGTATAGGTTTAGCAATCTGTTTGCTTTCAGGCTGTGTCTACATTCAAGGAAACAGCACAATGGTATTAAAAAGTTCTTAACAATCATTACATGAGGCTTACCTTTTGCTGGGACAAGCCTCACTGCAAGGAAGGCAGCCAGACTTGTTTCTAATCCTACCAGTTCCTTCCACATTAGAGAGGTTAAAAACAAACAAAATCCTGCAGAGATTATTCATTTTTACTGCCCAAATGTTTGTTCAACCTTTCCATGTAAAGAGTGGCAGTATTTTCCGATAAAGAAAACCAAAAGTTGACTAAAGTAGCTTACAAAGCTGCTTGAGACAACATTAAGAATGTACTTCTTTGATATGTCCCACTAAAATGTAACACACACACACACACACACACACACACACACACACACACACACAGGGCAAAGTCCATACTTTTGCTCCTAACAGTGGTTTAAAGCAGAGACCAACCACAGGCTTCTGTTTACTTTTAACTTTTGTGCATCTGAGATTTGATGTGGCCATGAGCTATCTTTTTGGAGCATGAATGAAGTAACAGCTGTGCTGAATGCAAATCAAAGTAACTCTCATAATGTCTGAACTGCTATATAATGCACTTCATTTTTGTCAAATTCAGCTTTTCCAGCAGTCTGCAAAGGAGACCCAGAATTCTAAGTGATATGTATCTGGTCCTTGGAGGAGGGAGAGGAAGTAAGGGGGTGGAAGTATATATTTCTGGGGCAGACAAGGTACAGTAGGGTGGGTGGGATCATGGTTTCCTGTTCGTACATTCTTTGAGAGATTTTTTGAGCTAAAGGACCCCTGTGAGTTCTATGTAAGAGTAATCAATTCTGAAAACATATTTCACATGTGACAGCCACATGTGAAGCATTCTCACAAAACTTCCACCGGTATACTTCCTCTCTACACAGATGTTTCATCAAGTAAGATGTTGCCGTGAGAATCATTTTGTGATATTTTTACATACTAAACTGGGCTTAATCCACGTCTCTCATTGCATCTCTGCTTCTAAAGGAATGTCAGAGAACCCCTCTTAGGGAAACGTTCTAATAACACAAGCAAGTTTAATTTTTGCTGGGAGCCATTAATAGAGAATAGAATTTAATAGCCACCCACGACCACCTAACAATTTTGGCACTTCTGACTTGCACCATCCCCACTACGCATACAAAGGCCTTCATTTCCTTAGCGGTTCCTGCACAACATGACCCAGAGGCAGGAAAGGTCTTGGGGTGGGCATCTCTCTGCCAATCTCCTTCCAAATAGTGGACACTTCCTTCCAGGGGCAACTGACCCTCACCTATGAGTACTGTCCAGGTGGCAGGGGCACTGCTTGTCACATTTGATGCCGTAGACACCTTCCGGACACAGGCGTGCCTCGCAGTGCTCACCAGAAAAGCCTGCTTCGCAGAGGCACGAGCCACTCACGTGATAACACTTCCCTCCATTGACACACTGGCAGGTCTCCGCACAGTGCACTCCGTACGTACCAACAGGACACTCATCCTGACACCTATCGAGCAGAAGGTGGAAGCGGAAGTTAGATTAGTTAGGACCATGTGAAAACAATCAGTCCATTCAGACAGGCTTTATTCGGTATAAGTTGACATTGCTTTTTGGACTTGATATTTATTTAGTGATTGTCCCTATACAGGTATGAAAAGCACTAAGATGAATTACTCTGACTACAGATAGTAGTGACAGCAATATGACCTGTTCAAAAAAGTTTTTTAAATAAACAAATTATGAACTTGGGACGTGAAGCATGTTTTATACGCAGTGGGCTGCCAAAGTTACATATAACATTTTAGTAGATATCAGAAAAGGGAGAAAATAAATTGTCCAAATGTTAGTCCCCGCCCATAATTAGGAAATCAAAAAACGTGTTTTCCTCATTCTAAAGGGAAATGTTTGTAGTAAATTTGAAACTAAATTTTAATTCTGTTGGCTTTCATGTTGACATTATTTTTTAATCTCAGCCATGTGACTGCTTTTTTCAAAACTGAATGGTAGGGCCAGCCGAGTGGCGCACTG